GAATTAACGAATGGCTCCAACCTACTTTTTCAACTTTACTCCAGGCCTATTCTGCCTTGAAGAATCTTTGCTTCAGCCAGCCAGACTGGAGTACTTGCCATCCCAGCCCTCCTCTACACCCCAGTCCACAACTTCTTCTCTACCTGGGGTGGGGACCTCAAATACCTCCCTGGAATTTCTCTAAGCATTCCCAGCCCTCCATGTCCTTCCTGTCCTGTGTCCCAAAGCACTTGCTGCACAGCTCCCTTAGCTGAAATGACACACAGGTATGATCGATCTGAAAATGTGTGTAAGTGCTATTTTTACCTGAAACCAGTCTCTAAATTTCCTTGAGGACAGGAACAAAGCCCATCTTCTTGGAAACTTAGTACAGAACTCAGGACAGTGCATAAGAAATAAGGGGGAAAAAAGTTCATAGTTTTTTTTTTTTCTTCCCCTCACTCAAAAGGAAAATAGCTTTGAGTCACATGGTGGGGGTGGGGGGGTATAGAGGGATGAATATTCTCATGACTTAGATTTCCTAGTTTACTGAATATTAAAATGTCAGTGAGAAAATTGTTACTGGATTTTTAACCACTGAATCTACTTACTGAAAAGGTATAAGCAGCTCCCTTCATCTTCTACAATTTTATTCCAGTATGAGTCTACAGTGGCCTATGAGACATTACACCATCTGATCATCTGACTTCTCCTACTGCTCATATCCTTCTTCACTCTGCTCCAGTCACACAAGCCTCTGCTATTCCTGTAACATACACACCAAACATGGTCCTGCCTCAGGGCCTTTGCATTTCCTATTACTTCTATGTGGAATGTTCATTCTCCAGCTTGTCTTTCCAGTTATCTTCCTGACTGCTCCAGCTAATATTGAAAAAAAGTCCCTCTTCCTTACTTCCTATTTTCATCGGCTTTATTTTTCTCCATAACACATATAACAATCCAATAGTCTATATATTTTAATTATCTAGTAGCATTAGGAGAAATATTTTTTATCTGGTTTATTCAGTTATAGCCCCAGTATATAGAACAATGTCTGGAAAATATAATGCACACAATAAATCTTTGGGGAATATGAAATTCAGCAAACATAAATATTTTACAAATGTGCAGAGAGAGCAATGTAAATTCTATTAATGGCTCAAACATAAATCAAAGATGTTCTTCCCATTTAGCTACACCATTTTCTACTTCTTTAAATTTGAATTCTCTCAGAGAACTGAATTCTGTTCATCAGAAACAGCCAAGATCCAAAGCCATTCTAAAAGTGATTTAAAATCAGGTTTCTGTTCCTACCATCAAATACTTTCTGCAATAGCTTTGAAACGACAAGTCAATACAAAAACAAATGTTTCACAAGCTTAATTTGTGTGGCCAGCACTAAGGTTAAAAAAAAAAAAAAAAATCTTTCCTTGAAGAAACATGGACTGGCTTTCAGAGGGAATTTAATTCCTAACATACACCAAAAAAAGTCTACATTTTGCTTAATATAAATAGAAGTATAAGTTGCCATGGAAACATAAGAGGCCGCAGGAAGGCAGCAAATAATAAAATGCAGTGATTACAGACTAACAAGACTTCATTTTTTTAATCAATGAAATAAAGTTAAAATAACTCAGGATTCAAAGTATTTTAACAAGTTATTTTCAATCTTTCCACTTTTCTCAACATACTAGTTACAATGTTATTCAATAAGGCACTACAGAAAGTGCTTCACGTTGGTTACAAAACCCGTCTTGGTTACTAAACCTGGTCTTTTCTTTCCTACCGCTGATTGGCAACAGGGAAAACTGGTTTTTGAAACATGTATTTAAAACTTTACCCCTGGAGATACAAGTCACTGCTTCTCAGCCTGTAGTAGGTCTTTTAAGTATTTATTATAATACTACTTAGCACTTACTACATAAATATTTTTATTGTTACCTTCTGTCTTAACGCAGATGTTAGGTCCCATTTCTTTATAAGATACAAATCATACCCGCACATGGTAACAGTTCACATATTTGGCTGACAAATCAAAAGCTAATGTATTGTTTCAAATATGGTATCAGAAAACAGATGATAAGAGAAAAATTTGGGATATAGGCCCTAGCATGGTGGATTTACAAAACTAATTAATAAATCTTATTGTTTAAAGAACCGTTCACAATGTGTCTGACTTTTCAAAACAGATTATGCATTTCCTTAAAGACAGATCTGAAATTATTTTTTATGCCAAAATTTCCTTAGATAACTTCAAAAATGTTTATATTTGATTGGGATTGACCTTCAACTTACAATGACTTTTAACTAACTTCTAGCTATTTGATTTGGGAAAGAAATAGAGAAGCAAATAATTTTTAAACACACTATCAGATGATCCAAGATGCCCCTGGGAAAGTGCGCAGAAATGGTTACAAAATGCTATGAGTTTTCCCTAAAATAGCAACTTCAAATTATTAAAGGAGTTATAGCAGTTAAATGTAAACCAATGGATTTACCTTTTTTAAGAAATTAAAGATTAATCTAGAGTCTTCCTCTGTCCAGGACTTTAACTTGAAGACCAATGCAAATTTCTCTTACACCAAATTTTAGGTTTCTATCAGTCTTGACTATATTCAATTTAATTTTTAAGTAACAAAATACATACCTCTTTCCAAAACCATGCAACTGGGCACAAAAGTAGTTCTGAGTGAAGCTTGCTGATTATTAACTAATTTATGAAATTCAAACTATTTCACAGTAGTTAAGGCTCCTGTTAAGTAAAAAAAAAAAAAAAAAACCAGTTTTCTCATCCAGTTCTTTCCTCAAAGCTAGAATGAAGATTCAATCTCACATTAATGTAAAGCTCCAAAGTAAGCCACTGGATAATTAAATGCCTGGCTTTAAATAACTCCTGAGGTTAGAAGTTGAGACAGAATAATATAAACAGCTCATACTAATTTAGAAGTGGCTTATGACAAAGGAAAAGGAGCCCTGGTGGGACAGTGGTTACTTGCTCAGCTACTAACCAATAGGTCGGTGGTTCCAACCCACCAACCCCTCCATAGGAGAAAGATGTGCAGTCAGTTTCCAAAAAGATTACAGTCTTGCAAACTCTACGCGACAGTTCTCTGACCTATCCAGTCACTATGAGTCAGAACTGACTCATCGGCAACAGGTTTGGTTTCGGGGTTTATGGCAAAGGAATGCATCACTACCCTGGGTTAATTCAATAATGTGAACTTTCCAATATGATTGTTTTTAACTTTTAGGTTTAAAACCTTAAGATTCTACACTAACAGAAACAGATGCCACTTGGTCATATAAACCAAAGAGAAGTCAAAAGCTAAGGGCAAAAAATCTACAGAAGCACTACATTTCAGTTCATAATTTATTTCTCCATCCCCTAAAAAAAAAACACTACCATCTAGGAATTTATATGCTATATTATTGCAATATAAAACAGAAAAATCGTAACACCATTGACAACTACAACATTTATCCATATGCCAACTATAGCTTTTAAATGTAAGATCTATACTAGACTCTGATAGTGGAGTCTACACTCAATTTCTGATTTCAAGAGTGTCAATTTACTCCAACAGTGCTTAAATTCATTTTTAAGATGATTTCAAGTGAGACAAGAAATGTGTGCTTCCATTGAGAAATTTCAAGTAAATATGCATTCTACAATATTGTGCAACATTTTACAAAGCATAACCTCATGAGCTCTAACCTACAGAACTTAAGAAATGGACTAAACTGGAACTACAAACAAATGGTGGGGGCAGAATGGGGGGAGGGATCAAACGTGACTTTATATTCAGAATCTAAATCCGAAACATGCCTTCTTGATCTTTAATTCCAGATTGGAAAGAAATGCCAAACGATAATAAATAAATTGCCTTACAAGAAGCTAAGTTCCCTCAAAAATGTTGAAACAAAAGACTCAGCTTTGAGTATAACCTTATGCTATTTCGGCACAAACACGCTTGATAAGTCTTGGAATGAAATTACCTCAGTCACTCTACCGGAATGCAACAATGCATTTTCAAAACTGTCCTGAAGTAGGCTACTCCCAACTAAACTACACTGAAAAAGGAGAGACCCTGTTTGAAGTAAACAGGTATGCGGAATAACAGTTTCATATTGGCCTCAAAGTTTAAAAAAAAAGTTACACCTAATTATTAGTATTTATTCTTCCAGAATAACATCATAAAGGGGTGTCAAAACAGACAACTGGAGACAGGAAACATCAGACTTCAGAGAGCCTCTCTTTACAACCTTGAGTTATTCACTGGAGTTGTTGGGAAGGTTAGATAAGTTAAAATATATGCAAAGTACGTGGTACAGTTGCTTGGCTCACAGTAATCACTCAGTAATCATTAGCAAGTATTTATTAACTCTTATTTGTCCAAACAGTTTCAAACCCTAACTACAACTAACCACAAATTCCTTTTTCGGGCACGACTTCTACGGAGGATGCAAACAGCGGAAGAATTCATTTTAAAAACATACTTTTAAAACTACCCATCTATGAAGACCAAAAAGGCACAATAACTTACACTGCTTTCAAAAACTGTACTGGGGTGTCATGATCACAAATTCACAACCTGGTTTTAAAAGCCAGCTAAATTGCGGACAGTTAAAGGTCAAAGGCATCCAAGCCAGGAGCGATCTGCTCCACTACACGGTCTCTAACTCCCACAAGAACACAGGGGGACTGAACCAAAAGCAGCCGCGGCCAAAAAGCAAGCGAGGACGTACCGGGTAAGACATCACCCTCGGTGATTTCCTCCAGAAATAAAGACGGCCCTACCCTACGTCTGGTGACTCAGGCAGACCCCGGAGCTCAAGAGTTATCGCACCCCTTGACCCCGGGAGGGGCCCCCCATACCCGAAGCTGCGAAGAGGCGACTGCGCACACCCGGGCCCCGGAGGCGTTCCTCTCGGGTGCCCAACCCCGAGCCCCTGGGCCTGGAAGGAGGACGCCCCGCGGCCCGCCCCACCCCCAACCCGCCCGCGCGGCCGGGGCAGGATACTGAACACAGTCCGCTCCCAGGGCTCCAGCATGTAGAGCGCCGTGACAAGCAGGTACTGGTAGTAGAACCAGGACATCTGTTTCCAGGCCCGTGCCAACGCCATCCCCGCCATCCGCTTCCCGCGATGAGGCCGATCGTCAGTCGGTCCGGCCGCCCGTTCGCGTCCTAAAGCCCCGGGCCTCGAGTCCCGCCCGCCCGCCGCCCCGCACCCATTGGCCCGTTCGGCCCCTCGCGTCACCCGTGGGCACGCCCAGCCCCGCGCGCCCCAAGCAACCGGACGGTAGCCAGCCTCGCCGGGCCGGCGCTCATTGGCCAGGCCGCTCCTTCGCATCTCGCCCACCTCCTCCCCGTTTCCTCCTCCCCCTGGGCCGCGCCCACGCGAGCCTGAGAACGGTCCCCGCGAGAGCGCACCCGCCGCGCGCTGCGTGCCGCGCCCCATCCGCCCCGCCTCTCCCGGCCGTTGGTAGGCAAGGCGTTGGCGCTGGCTGGAGTGGGGACACGGGCGTGGAGCCGGCCGGACCGCAAGGGGTCAGTACCCCAGAAGAGCCGGTGAACGCTTGTTGGGGAAATAGTTGTTGAATACCTGTTATGCCTCAGGCATCCTCCTGTGCAGGGGATTACAGGGACGAACCAGGAACATATTAGCCTCCTTGCTTCGTGCAGTTTACAGTTTAGCGGGGGAGAGAGACATTAATCTGTCACCAGAATGCAAGTAAAGCTGTCATCAGAGCAAAGGAGGAGAATAAGGTGCTAAGAGAGGGTGGGAGAAGCGAATGTCATCAAGTGAAGGTCAGGGAAGGCGACTCTGAAGAAGTGATGCACACATCGCCTCCTTCCTCCCCCACCAGTGCACACGCACAAAAATATACCCACACAGACAAACATACCCCTGCACTCCTTAACCTAAAGACAACCAGAGACACCGTAAATCTCAACCTGCCCACCTCTTTTAGTGGTTATAGGTACGGTGTAGATCAAGGCCAGGAGAAGCACGCTGATCTGGTGGGTTCTGCAGATGACAGGCTGCTTGAGATCCGTGTGTGCTGGGGAATCTCATGGAGATGTTTTCCTAAATGTCCAGCTTTTCCCACTGGAAAATGGGCCAGTAATATTACAGTTGCCATTAGGAACGCAATTCACTGTTAGCATGTGAAATGTCACAGTTAAATGGCCTGCTGTTTAAATTTTAAGGAAGTTTCTAGGTTAAGTAGTTTCTAGGTTTGCTGCTTAAACTTCAAAACTTTCATGGTTGATAACTTTTAATTATTAATTTAGAAATATCAAGTGCTGTTTATGAGCTAGACATTGTTGATAGAAACCAGATAGATTGGGAGCTGCCTACATAAAAGTGCCCAGTCTACTGAGGAAGAGAGGCACTAATTTCAGTGAGGTGTGGTAAAGGGTATGTGTTATGGGGAGGACGCCAGGAGATCCCAAAGAAAAGGCTAACAGAAGTCAAGAAGGCTTCTGGGAAATGGTGCTTGAGCTGAGTTTTGAAGGACAAGTAGAAATAGAAGAGTGAATGGGTTGGGGAGGGGAGGGAGCATGACACCCCTATATGAAGGCCTAACACTTTTAAAGGGCTGGAAGAACTTGTGTGTGGCTGGAGCAAAAAGAATGTGTAGGCAGTAGTAAGACATGGTGCTAGATAGCAAAGCAGAACCATATCCTGAAGGACCTTGTTTGAGGAGCTAAGGAAGTTTTAACTTGATGTCCAAAAGCTAAAAGGACCAATGACTGAATAAAATTTGCTTTTTAGATAAGATGTGGGAATAGGCAGTAGCCTGCAGGCTACTGAGGAAAAGAAGAGCAGGTTGGAAACAGAGGTAGAACCTATAAATGGGACCTGTATAACCCAGTCACTTGGAGCCTCCCTACCCCCTAGAGATCCAGGAAAACTTGGCCCTTCCACATCCAGATCTTACTGCATTGGGCTTCTCTCTGTCCCTGTTCCTCTGGAGCCACTACTTTAGATCTGTTTGGGCACCAGGCAAGTTCTGCTCCTTTTTCCTCAAGAATGCTAATTACCCTCAATACTTGGTCAGGCTCAATTAAGTTTACTCAAGATTGGAAGCATCACGCATAGCTATCTTTCCCTCACTGCGTCACCTCCCTAAGCTCCATTCCTGCCAGGTGGTCCTCCCTACTGTGCATGGCTCCCCAACCCCAGCTTCTCTTAGGGAAAGCAGCCCTAACAAGCCAATCTGCATTCCCCAATTTCCCTAGGATTCTCATGGATAAAAATTCCTCTGTCTTGCTAGAGTTGACAATCGAGTAGAAATAGAGGAAAGAGACTAGAAACGGGATCCTGGATGATGACAATATTCACAGAGAGAGAATCCAGAGGAAGCAATTTGGATGAAAAGATATGAATTCTGTTAGGACGTACCTGAGGAACAGACATCTAAGTGAAGATATACAGATAGCCGTTGGGCATATGGGTCTAGAACTCAGAAGAGAAGCCTGAACAGGAGCTAAAAGCATGTAAATTATTGATAAGCTCCTGGTAATTGAAGCCAGGAGAGCAGATAAAGTCACTCAAGGAAAGCACAGAAAGTACCGAATAAACTCATGGACTCCAAAATTTAGGGGATGAGAGTCTAAAGGGAACAATAAAAGGAACTCAGAAGAGTTACCGGAGATTTGATAGGAAAGAGGAGAGAAGACATATGGGAGAAGCCAAGGGAGGGAGGGGACAGGCCGCAGAATCAAATGGCTCAGAGAAGACAAGAAAAATGAAGGAAAATGCCAATTTGTTTTGACTACATGGGGCTCAGTTAATGTCATTATTTCATTGTGATGTGATGAGGACAGAAGCCAGATTATAGAGAGCTGAGGAGGGAACAGGAGATAAGAAAATGAAGATAGCTAATTCGGATTTATTTCTGCAGGAAGTTTGTCTGTGAAGGGAAGGAGAGAGAGAGGATGGTCTAAGTTTCTCTGTTAGGTTTGATTTTCAGATGGAAAAGTTTTGAGCAAATTCATGGGCTTAGAGTAAAGATACAGGAGAAGATAGGTGTGAGTGGGAGTAGGAGACCAGATCCAAAGCCTTAATAAACAGGAGCTAGTATCTATTTCTCTAAAAGGGAGAAGATGGAAAAGTGGGAGTCAGATGGAGATAAACATCTCCACAAAGAGGAAATTACCTTATAGCCTCAGTTTTCTTAGTGAAAAAGAAAGCCCTCTTTCTGAAGTAGGGCCCTGCCTGACAGCGGGTGGGATGTTGGGGTGGAGGGTATGAAAAAGAAAAAGGGGAAATGGGAGAATTTTCCTAATGATGCTTAAGGATTGTCAGGCAGAAAAATCCTAATTTTCACCAGCAATGCACAAGAGCCCAGATATATCTATAGAACTGGAGAAGCTGAATTAGGAAGATTGCCCCAGAGTAGGGTTTTGCTAAGTGAGTACAGGGAAAAACAAGGAAGCAAGAAGGTTGACAGGGAGAGAATAAATGAAATAATGGCTATGGGAAATAGGTCACAGAGGGTGGTAAATGCAGAAGGGAGAAAATGGAGTGGTCAAGGGCTAGTTGAGGTTGGAAGTGGGAGTAGGTGAGTGGGAGAGTGTCTGTCCTGGAGCATGATAACCACAGATATGCTTCTAAAGTTTAAGATTACAGAGATGGGGCAGTCCTAGACAATGACAAGGAACAGGTTGTGACCATGGAATGGGCAGCCAAAATGGAGCATAGGAGAAGGTAAAAGACCATCAGTGCAGATGGTGTTGGTGGGGCTGACGACACATGCATGTTGAAGTTGTCCAGAATGATGGCAGGACTAAGGGTTGAGAAGAAAAGTCTGTAGACCAAATGTCAAAGTCTTCAGTGAGTGTGGAGAAATGCTCAGGAGACAAAATGGAATGGAGAATGGTAAATCCCCACCCCAAGCTCCATGGTCGACAGACATGGATCATATCCTAAGGGGAGAAGAAGGAGGTAGAATGTTCACCAAGAGATTGACAAGTACTTTGTTTATACTGGAGAGTCTGGTGAAAGACGGAGAGGGTTGGCAGGGAGGGTTCAGTGCAGGGATATTTCTGGAAGAAGGAAATACCAGAGCAGAATGAGAAGGTGAAACACTGGTACCTTCGGGAGGCAGTGCTGATGGGCAAGTTGGGCCAGGCTGACCTCGAGGTCTGACTTACAGGAGCATCAGTACAGCCACCGGCAGACCCCAAGTGGTGTCCAGGGCTAAGAGCCAACCACTGATCACAGCCCAATCAGCAAGCACGGGCCTTTGTTCATTCTCAGCCCATCTTTCAAATATAGTGTTTGTAAGAAGTGGTTTTGTGGCTCAGCAAAGCTCAATCCTAGGGTAGCCAGTGATGCAGGTGATGGAAGCAACCAGAGCCCATGCAGCTGTCTAACCTTAGGCCCCTTGCCCAGAGAGGAGGGGGTAGTAGAAAAGCATGTCAGCCCAGGGCTTCCAGCTTCTGAAAAGCAGAGCCCTGGAAAAGGATGGTGGCACAATTAGGTCTGAGTCAGGGTGTAAGAAAAAAACAGAATGCGTACTGCAGCTACTTTAAAACACACACACACACACACACACACGCACAGCCATGTAGCTCTATGTTCATAAATAAGGTCAGTGCCTGGCTGACATCTAATAAAGATAACTAAACTCAGCCAGCATTTATTAAAGATCTTTGTTCCTATATATTTTCAGACTCGGATGAAAGTTAATAGTCCCTAGTCGAGTATGACAATGAATTCTTTTTATCTGCAAATTTTTATATACTTTTTATACGACATGAATCATTTGCTAAATACCTAGCACTTTTTCCCGGGACAGTTTTAGAGCTTCTCTTCTGAACTGCCTAACTTCTATCCAATTCTCTCTCACTCTGTGCTGAGTGGGTGGCCTCCTTCCTGCCCTGCCTCTCTCCTGCTCTGCCAACACTCTGAGACCCTCCACAGAGAGCCTCTTTACAAGCCCTTCCCTTACCCTCAATTATCACAACCCTACAATTATTATCTCACATTTTCCCTCAGCCTCTCTGACACCCTCTCTGTCACAGCTTCTCAAGAGTTGGGGGCCCCCTCCCTCTCTACTTCCCCCTTTCCACTTTCCAAGCACTCTCAGCCAATCTCTCTGCTGCTATTGAACTTTTTCCCCCCTTTTGCTGGCTCAAATCCTTTGTGGAATAAGAG